AAAAAGAAAAAGAAAAAGAAAACCCTGTTATATCTTCATCTAAACTTCCGTAGTTCTTCCCTTCTGTTACCAGCCCAAATTTTAAATAAAAGGTCATGGTGACATTTTTTACCATGGCTTTCCATTGCCTGCTTCTCGCCGGAGTTATATTTTGCGCATTCTTGGCTACGAGTATTGCAGATTTTCCTAAATTTGATCATTCGGTGAAAGACGATGGATCACTTAGTATTTTAGTGATTGGAGATTGGGGCAGGAAAGGCTGTTATAATCAATCTCACGTTGCTATTCAGGTACCAAAATCTCTCTCCATTTCCCCCTTTCCCTCATTTTACTTTATATATATATGTATATATATATATATATATTCTTTTTTTGCCTCTTATTTTCTTCATATTTGTATGCAATGCAGATGGGAAGGATTGGAGAAAAACTAAATATAGATTTCGTAATTTCAACCGGAGATAATTTCTATGATAATGGTTTAAAGGGTATTAATGATCCTGCTTTCGAAGAGTCATTTACAAATATTTATACCGCAAGAAGCCTTCAAAAGCAATGGTATAGTGGTAAGGTTTCGGTGTTATTCCCTCCATCCCTCCCTCCGTAATTATTTATGGGTACGCATAACTAATTCTTAACTAATTCAACACGTAATATTAGGTAATATTTTTATATGTATCATAACAATTAAAAAAAATTTAATTAAATAAAATTACTTAATAAAAATTATATATTAAAAAAATTAGACTATCATCTTATATTCTATAAAACCATTATCTTAAAAACAAAGGTTGCTAATCAATTTTTTTATTGAAAGGTAAAATATGGAAACATAAATAGAAATAGAGAAAAATATCAACTTTTAAGAAACTTGCTTTTCAGTTCACATTGACTTAAAAACTGAGTTGGTAAAAGTTTAGTTAGGGATGCAACTTTTTAAAATTTTTTTAATTAAGGAAATGACCTTTTTTTTTTCTTTACTAATTAAGGCTATCACCTTACAAAAATTTCTCATCAAGAATATAATCTTTGCAATTTTACTAATCAAAACTACTAACTTTTAAAATTTTCTAATCAAGGGACTTTGCACATCCTCTTAATCCTTCTTTAGTAGAATAGCAAAAGTCATTTTTTTAATTAGAAAATTTTTTAAGGTTTTGTGCTTTTTTATAGGAAATCTCAATTAGGGTCAGAAAAGTCCATTAAAATGGCACAATGGAGTTTTCATGCCTGCACTATCTGTTTTTTTAGCTGGTTCAAACTGAGAAATACGTTTCTGTTAATTTTTTTCATCTGGACGATCCAACATTCTAATTAGGTGAAATCATGAATTTTTTCTATGCATGCAGTTTTGGGAAATCACGATTATCGGGGTGATGCAGTCGCACAATTAAGTCCAGTTTTAAGAGATATAGATCAACGCTGGCTTTGCCGAAGATCTTTTCTACTTGATGCAGGTAAGTTTAGCTGAATTACTACCATTAAATTGAAAACTTTAATTCTAGAATTTATGTAAGGTTAAGATCTCTGCAGTAACGCAACACTAACTTCTTAAGCCACACGTTAATTCAATCCAGATGTTTTAGATTGTGGTTTTTGTAATTTTTTATTAATTTTTTGATACATTTCTGTGTGTAGAAACGGCGGAGTTCTTTTTTGTGGATACAACTCCATTTGTAGATAGTTACTTCACCGAACCAGAGCATAAGTATGATTGGCGAGATGTGTTGCCGAGGAATACTTACATTAGTAGCATTCTCAAGGTAATAACATTCTGAGTCATTTTTCTAGTTATCAACAACAAAGGATTAAATCTTTTAGGTTAAACAGTGATGATATAATTATAATATTACGTAATGTTATAAATTTATAATTATAATATATTATTAAATAAGTATGATATGTTATTAATTAAATAAATATACACAATATCACAAGTAGAGCCTTATAATATACATTATATTATAAATTTAAAAAATATCAAACAATGTTAAAGCTAATATCATTTTCATAGGTTAAACCCATTACAAACGTGTAAATATTTTTGCACGAATTATTAATACTATTTATTTTAAATTTAACGATTGATATGATGGTACTATATTTATAGCAGTAGCATAAATATTTAGTAATCTATCTTAAAATTCCACTTATATGTAGACAATATTAATTGGGTCTTTAATCTTTCATTTGTATTTTTGTTCTATGCTTTTAAAAGGAAGAAAGTCAACATTTTTTCTTTCCTTCTAATGAGTAGGATTTGGAGACATCATTAAGGGAGTCGACTGCAACATGGAAAATCGTCGTTGGTCACCATGCCATTAGAAGTTTTGGGCATCATGGCGACACTCAAGAACTTCTTAAGAAAATGCTTCCAATTCTTAAGGTAGTTAAATTTTTGAGTGAGGTTATTATCGTACCCTAAATAGTTAATATTGTATCTTTTTAACGTAATTATTTATTATATTATTTTTTTTTTCAAAATTTTACATCTTTTTGTTTTTTATTAAATTAAATGGTATTATAATAAAAAAAAAAGATAAAAAGGTATGCTATTAGTAATTGAAGGTATGGCAATATTAATAGTATCCTAAATTTTTACATTTATTATTCAATTCAAATCTTAATGGTTAATATAAAAAATTCAAACCTATATAATGGATGATGTTATTGCCACACCCTCAATTACTAATACTACATCTTTTTATCTTAATTGACTATTATACCCTTCAATTTATTACGAAACAAAAAATGTAAATTTTTGAGAAAGAATGTAATATAAAAGTATAATAAATAATTACATTAAAAAAGTGTGACATTAACCATTTAGGATGTGGCAATAACCCCACCCCTATATAACAAAAAAAAAAACAAATTTCTATGCTAATTAAATTCAGGTGATGTTATTGTTACACTTTCAATTACTAATGTCACATCTTTTCATCTTAATTGACTATTATACCCTTTAATTTATTAAGAAACAAAAAATATAGAATTTTGAGAAAAGGTATAATATAAGGGTATATAATAGGTAACTATGTTAAAAAAGTGTTGCATTAACTATTTGGGGTATGGCAATAACCCCACCCATTAAGTTCCCATTTTATTTAGTTAATCAGTTAATAGAGCTCTTCATTTAATAAAGTAATCGGATTAAGACTCAAGGGTTTGAGTATATTGGCCATTGGACTTTAATATTATTGGGGCCCTTATTTAATAATATTAATTAATCTTTCAATTTTCTTTTCAGATCCATAATGTTGACTTCTACATGAATGGTCATGACCATTGCCTAGAACACATATCAAGCCTTGATAGGTCAGGAACACTTCTTGCTCAAATCTATACATTTTCTGAATGTGGTGAATTTGGTGATGGATAAGATTGGTACAAAATGCAGCCCAATCCAGTATTTAACAAGTGGAGCAGGATCAAAGGCATGGAGGGGTGACATCAAAGGTGACAAGAATGATGCTGTGAAGTTCTACTATGATGGACAAGGCTTCATGTCCATAGAAATTGCACAAACAAACGCTGAGATTGTTTTCTATGATGTTTTTGGAGAGAGCTTACACAGATTGAAAGTCTCCAAGGACCTTTATTCCTCAATTTAAACATCCAAAGGCAAAAAAGGTAAAAAAGGTAAAAAAAAAAAAAAAACCCGGAGATCAGAACATTATTTAGTCTATAAGTTATTTTAGAAGTTGGAGACTTAATGTATAGATGGAAAGGATGTTTCTTCTTTGGTCTACAACTAAATCAAAATTTTGTTAACCCTTTATCCTTTATGTAAAAGGAAAAGAAAAAAATTATGCTGCAATCTTACCTCTGTAATAACCCATCTAACATGGTGATAGCCCTTTACTCACTTTATGGGCAATTTTATTTGTTGTAAATATATGTGATTAGCTTATAAATTATCTGTTAGCATTTCATCATCTAGCCATTAGACGACACAGAATATTTCCATATATAGGGCTTAGCCATTTGGATTTTTAATTAGCCCTTGCCTTCACTATCCCTTTCTAGTACATTGTGAATTATATATTTATTTGTATCATTTATTTTATGAATAAAGATAATGTATATCAAGTCTAATTTCTAAAAAATATTATAGTCTTAATCTTAAATAATGTCATTTTATTTAATCAAAACTCAATTTAAAATTTAAAAATCTATCATATTAAATGTTGATACTAGAATTTGAAAATTGATTATATTAACATATAATCAATTTTTAAATTTTAATATCAACATTTAGTAATTTATATTTTTTAATTTTGAATAAAGTTTTAATTAAATAAAAAAACATCATTTAAGATTGAGAATAATTTTTTTTTAAATCAAAACCAATATGCACTCTTCATGAATATATAAAAGGAATATTATTTTTCATATGATATCAGAGCAAGCTATGTTCTTGTTAAACTTGTTATTAATTTATGTGACATATCTTGACATCATATTGGACTTGTACATATGAGAGGACATACATGTTGAGTGATAAAATTCCTCATTGAAATATATATATAAAAAAAGTGACTTAAATATAAAAAGGGCTACTCTATTTATCATTAATTAATTTTAAATTAAATATAAAATTTGTATTGAAACATACATGCTAAATTTCACATAGGTATACCTAAATGGAATATCTCATCAATTATACTTGTACCCCACTACTTGATGGGTAAGAAAGTGTCTTACATACACCCCAGAATTTTGGTTGTTTATGATATAAACATAACCATTCTCCATCACATGATAAATTCTATCCTAGATCTACAAAAATGCATATTAAATTCATATTGCCTAGAATATTCAAGTGGTATTTCTATGGATATTATATTTTATTCCCATATGGATTTCGGATAAAACATTGAAGCACATTCAAGCTTTTCAAGTTGTCTCTAATAACTGGATGCTGCAGACGGCTCCCATGCGATCGTCAATTTTCCTTTGTCATGGGACAGGGACTTTAATGATTTATAATAAGCTGGTCCAAAAGGAAAAACAAAAGACCAATAATAAATTAAACCATACTTTCACTTGACACAATTTTGAACTCCGTGGCTGAAAATACTCTATAACAAACCTCTACCTTAATTACAGACGCAATTTTGGCTCAGACGAAGTCCTAACTTTAAGGAAGTCCTAACAAGGTCTCCGTATTTTAAACTT